AGATCTAAGAATAATCTAGAATATGGGAACCCAAACTTTTATAAATAGGAGCTTCATACCCACTTTGGGGGACTCTTTCAACCAATTAATCATGGGAGAGCCATTCTCTCTCTCTCTCTCTCCTCTTCTTCCATTACCTTTGCCCTCTCCTATAGTCATCAACTCATTTCCTCCATCTCCCCTTCATTGAAATTCCATCTCTAATAAGCTATAGAGGATAGATCCCTTATTGGATGATATGTAGGCAGCTTGCCCGAGGGTTTAACCATATCTTCTCTCCTTTTTCCTCTTCCTAATTTAGACTATCAGGCATAGACCACATCTCCACCGCCTTACAATAAAAATATCAACAACAACAATAATAATAGTAATAGTAATGTCTCTTTTCATGGTTTCATGCTTTCATATTATATTTTTTATATAATTAGTTTAAGGGCATTGTGTAAGAAAAGATAAAAGGATAACCATATATGATGTGATCAAGGATAAAAATATCGATATAATATGCCCCATATCGGACATATCATATCCATATTGATGCATCCAAATATGCATGGATACATCAGATGTAAAAATTTTTTAAATACTTAAAACTTTAAAAAATACTGGGTGGGACCCTCTAATACTTACAAAATAAAAAAAAAAGTAAAAAAAAAAAATAGGGGGTATTAATCATATCAATACACATCAATACCCACTTAAGGGTATTGGGCATATCCGCAAATGTTGGCATTATATAGTAATAGATGTATGCTTCATCTAATAATGCATCGATTATAAGTATATATTTTTTAAAACCTTAACTCGAAAAAACATAGAGATATGTGAACCTCACATAATTTTAAAATACTAGCTAATATCTTCATGGTTTGCATGTGGAAAATAATTTATATTAGTTATAAGAGAAAATGTTATGTAATATGTTACAATTTCTCATTTTGGTATGTTAGAAGAATTTAAATCGAATTTAATATTAAAACAATATTTCAATTTTTACCTATAAAATTACATTATACTTACTATTTTGATTAATTTATCTTATACAATAAGCTAATATTATAATTGTCAAAAATATACATAGTGGAGAAATAACACATACTTTAGAATTTTAATTGTTGTGATACTTAGGCTTTGTTTGTTTATTGACAATTTGGACGGGGCAATTGGACCAACTTCCTCACGTTCATTTGGATCATGTGGGTCCCATCACAAATAAACTTCCCATGGTAAGTTTTTTGGTCACTTACCAAGGAAAGATTTAGCCTTCTCCCTTTCTCATTATGAGGGAAAGAATTAGACTAAAATGCCCCTACAAAAAGAACATGGGTTGAGGCAAGGAAAAAATGATAACAGAGAAAAAATTATGACAAAAAGAAAATGCGTAAGTGTATTTACTCAGGGAAGTGTTATTGATAAACGAACAAGGCCTAATACATTGTTTATTTTGATAACCAAGAATCTATTTATACAGAGCTCTTCAACAATTAAGTAAAATTTTGATTCATATTGGCTTTATCCTTATTTTCTAGACATTGATAGGAATATATTATGAAATTTGATTGTTACTTGATGAGTCCAACTATAATGCATTTACAAATATTTGTTGCATGTTAAATAAAGATTTAAGACAATCATGTTAAAGACATCACATTGTCTACTTTTCCTTCATTCATGTGTCACAAGATATACCTACCATCAAAACTTTTACAACATTAAAGATGTCAATTGTGGCATGTTTTATCACAGATTCATGTTTTTACTTCACGGTGTAATTCATGCAGCATAGATTTTGAGTGGTAAAGATAGGAATAGAAATATGGTCATACAAAGGAATCTAAGAGTAATTCCAGTAGGTGATAAAATGAGAATAAATTGAGATGATTCTGTCATGTGTATAGAAAACCAATGACAACATTTATAAAAAAAAAATGTGATTTATTACAAATTGAATGAGAATTAATTAGCTATAGGCATATCAAAAGGACTTGGGTGAAAATAACAAGTAATAATTTAAATACCCATAATTTAACAAAGGATATGACAATAAATAGAATGGAATTATGAAACAGGCTTCATGTAACCAACCCAATATATACTTGGGACAAAACTTAGATGATGATAGATGATGGTAGTACTAGGGATGGCTAGGGGCAGGTTCAGGGAGGGTTTTGTAAATTCTAGACCTTATCCGCCTCTCTAAACCTCTCAACCAATACCCACCCCAAAACTCGTAGCGGGGTTGGATTTTGAGAATCCAAACTCTCATTGCACATGAAAATGCAAAACCACATCCCTAACACTACCCTCCCTACATTCAAGGATAAGGTGGGTTGGGTTTAGAACCCACATCTAATTTCCTATTATTTCTTGTTATATATAAGCACTAAACAAGTAAAATAACACAAACAATCAACAAATTTTCCAATTATTTGATTAAAACATGTAAAAAACACAAACTCTTAATTATCCTTCACATAAAATTCAAAATATTATTAAATTAAACACCTAATGTATAAAGTTTATATGCTTTCCAATAATGTATGGGTTGGGGAGGGTCTGGTTTAGCCTAATACCATACCCTACCCGTACCTATACAGGTTGTAGAAATTGCCATCCCTAGGTAAGACCTTTACCAATCATACAATGTTGCAAAACTCATTCTAATTCCAATATGATAGTTGAAAGCTTTCTAATAAAACAAGTACTTTTTTAATGTTGTTTTTATTTGTTATTATTTTTTATTTGTTATTTATAATTACCACTAGGGGTGGCCACAAGCTATTCAAGCTCGACTCACGAGCCTAATTGATCTCCATTACATATATACATATATATGTATGTATATTATATGTAAAAAAATAATATATATATAAACATATATAACATAAAAATGTTATATATATAATATTTATATTTTTATATATATAATAATAACTAGTTTTATAATTCTTAGTTTTTTATATGTCAAATAAAAAATATTTTTATATGTATAATTTTTTATTTTTATAAAACTCTTTGCTCATAGTTGAGCTCAAGTTGAGCTTGAACTTACAAGCTTTTGACTCAAGCTGAATTTGAGCTCAAGTCTCTAGCTTGAATCGAGCATGAGCTCAAGTTCGAGTCTCATAATTTACTAGCGAGTTGAACTTGATAGTCACAACCTAGGAATCTGGATTGAATCATGAATGGCTGATCCAATAACTCACCTCAACTGGTCCTTGGGCCCATTCAAGCCATTCCTATCAATGGCTAATTAGAGGTGTCTTGTGGGTCGAGCTAGGCTGGCATGACCCACTTTTGCAAGCCACTCGCATTTGTAGCAGGCCATGCTTTCCTAACATGAATTCCTTAAGAGGGAAGTCCAACATGTCCTAAGGCCCGAGCTTAAACGGGCCACAGGCTAACATGATCTTTTGAGAAAATTTGAAAGAAAATGAAAATTAAAATAAATTAATAAGATAGACAATAAATTAAAAAAAAAAGTCTTAAAATTTTATTCTATATGGGTTTTGATGTATACCATTGTTTATATATGAAATAATAACATGAAATTAAGAAATACAATAAAATTGAAATTAAATAGTATAATATCTACTATTTTATTGTAGTTGGCGGGATGTGCATGCCCATAAATGGCACAACCTGTTTTACACCTTTAACAAAAGCTAAAGAAAACATATTAGTCCAAACAAATAAAGAACAATAAGTCAAAAAGATCCCCCTATACTATGGGGTCAATGACAATTACCCCCCCAACTTTCACTTTACAACAAATATCCTCTCTTAGAGTTTCATCACTTAACTTCAAAAAACACTCTTATTCAACTATTTAAATATTTTTATATCTCCAAAGTCCAAACTACCCTTTTCTTATTTATTTAGATGATTTATGATTTGATCAATTTTCTAAGTATAAATTGAAGTCCTCTTGATTGCTCTAATAGATCCTTACAGATTTCTGGTTGCATTTAATATTCAGATGAAATGGTAGAGGTTTTTTTCTTATAGAAATATAAGGTTCCATTTGGTTTTTCTTGGTTTATTTGAGAAAGGAGTGCAAAGTTTCTTTATTTTAAGATGAAGAGAGATTCATTTGAGTGGATTTTTTTATTGGACTTTTTAATTATAATGAACTCTAGACCAAAATTATTGTGTAGTTTAATGAAATGAACTTGAGTTTCTAAGGATTTTAGTGGATGAATGTATTTAAAGGGCATTTTTCAAACTATATAGTGGCATTCTTGTAGTAATTTTCTCCATAGATCTAAAAAGAAATTTTCTTTTTGAAAAATAAAGATCTTGTCTCTTGAAAATAATGTTATAGTTCTACATAATTATACCACAATTTCCCATTTTTTTGGTGTTTATTTTACACCCCACCCCTTCTCTCAAAATACAAATGGATTAGCAGTCAAGAATTTAAAGAAACTTGTACTTCTATATTAGTCAAATGTTCTTATTATTTTTGGAGTCCGGATCTCTTGCCCACATCTACTCATATATCATCGCAGTCACACATGGAGAACATCTCATCTTCCTATATGATATTCTGCACAGGGAGATGTTCCCAATGCTCGGGGGTAGTGTGTTGTGGGTAGGCATGGGCAAAGTTATTGTGGACAGGAGATCCGGAGTCTTATTTTGAATGGTTTCGTTGAAAGAAAATGGAGGTATTTTTGGGTCAATTAAGGTTTAAAAGAAAATGGATGAGGTCAAAAAGAAAATAAGAAAAGTTCGGATGGATATCTGGTAATTTAATACATTATATCATATGATGTAACGGCCAGATGTATTTGTCCAAAGTAAAAGTGAAATTTGAGAGGGTTGGGTTGAAAAATTGCCACCCCTAATTGTGGCAAATGAAAGTTAAGGGGATAATTGTCACTAACCCCTGGTACAGGGGGTTTATATAATTTACCCAATAAGAACATGGGCATATGAGTCATTCAGAATAAATGGAATGGATAGGATAAAGTTACCCCAAAGGCGCAAACTGCAAACGGGTCTTAATTACTATAAGAAGGGAAGAGCAAGAGAGCAGATAGCTCTGAAGGTAGCAAAAATGGCGTCCACCACACTTGGTTTCTTCTCATCCTCCTCGTCATGGGCACCAACAGTTGCTATGCAGAAGCAAAGCCCAACGACTCTCCTTCTTTCCAAAACCAGCCTCAATTTCTTCCCTTCTACTTCTTCTCTTGCTTCCAACAGACTCACCTTTTTTCCCTGTTCGCCTTCTCCAATCGTCTACCGTAAGTCCACATTGTCTTCCATTCCCAAATTCTCTGAAACTGATGCACCCGTCGTCGAATCTGAACCAGATTCTGAGCCGACTCAACTTGTCGAGAACACGAAAGATGTCTCAAAACGTGAAGAGGTTTTTGCTGTTGTCATGGTGAGTTAAGCAGAAATTTCGTGTAATCTGTCAGTACCCAAATGATATCTTCAATTATTTTTGTGTTTCGTGATCTGGGTTTGCGCCGTTTCTTCGATTTTTAGGTTGGAGGTCGTCAATATATTGTTTTCCCGGGACGGTACATCTATACACAAAGGCTTAAAGGTGCTAATGTGAATGATAAGGTATGCCATTTGACATTTGTTTCTGTTCTTTTTAATTTTGTATCTTCTTAGTTCTACAATCACAGGATAAGTTATCGGATTATGACTGGTTCATTAGAATATAAAATTGTTGTTTTCTTGCATCGTGTGTGTGTTGTACAATGGTCCAATATGAGGGAATTGAAGGAGCTTCTAACTATTTGAACTAAGAATAAATTCAAAGCCTCAATTTGGCAGGTTGATACATTTTCTATGGAAATCACAAAGAAAGTGAAAAACAAAATAGAATTTTTATCGTTGTTTGATTAGTTGCTTATCTTATATAAAGTAAGTATAGTTGCTGGAGAATAAGTAACTATAGGTGCTGAAAATTTACAGGAAACTGGGAAAGTATCTTCACCATTTCAGGAACGTAGTTGTAGTTATCTTATGCATTTGCGGATTAGACACTTAAACAAGGTGGGAAGGCCGAAATTGTTGAAACTATCTATGTCAATAGATATTTTGTTAGAAGCGAAGTAAAAGTATTATTGGAAGGGAAATGATAGTAAGATGATTTTCGAGACAAAGTTTTCTCTTAGAAGTTAGTGAAGCATAAAATGGATAGAGAGAGACCCAATAATAGCCTGCAGGAACTTGTCAAGTAGGCTGGAGAATGTAGACTACTGCTGCACCTGAGGTACAGAAAATTTAGACTATTAGATACACTACAGTCGGAACAGTCCTAATGTCCTTCTGCCAAATCTTAGACCCAGAGCCTCTGCTCAAGACAATCTCTATTATTCCCTCCCCTAGGAAGAGAGTAAGCAAGATGAATCATTACCTGATGATTATCAAAATAAAAAAAAAAAAGAATCATTATCTGATTTAACCACTTATCTGAATAAGCTGTTCATCCTAGCCAACCAAGGGCCATTTTAGCTGGCCAATGACCATCAAAACACAACTTTGACCATGTACTTATGGGTCCATGTTATCTATTCATGAATGGACTTACTCTGAAGGCTTTAAGAAATATTCCAGGTAGATAATTTCATTGAGAAGATGTGTAAGTCTCCTAGAAGGATGAGAAGAACAAGGTAAAAACATGAAACACAAGAAAGGAAGCTTGTTCATCGACAACATGATTATTCAAATCTGTATTGAGAAGAAAATAAGGGAATGCCTTGTCACCTAGTCACCTTGGTGATGAGTTTTTTAAATAAAAAAAAAAACATATAAATCCTAGGGTAGTTCCCTAGGTTTCATAGTGATAAGCAGTAATCATTAACTAATAATTACCATAGTCCTCGTGAAATATGTATAAAGTATAAACCCTATCTCAAATGACAGGAAATCAACATATTTATTAGAAGAAAACTAAGAAGGAAAGAAAGCATAAAAACATAAGAGCTGAGCCCTTGTTTTGGTCCTAACCGATGATGATGGTGATGATGAAGTCCTATTGATTATTCTTGTGTGCCAATTGCATAAAAACTTAAAGTTGCTTTTTACTTATCAACTCAGATTTTAAAGTCTTAAAGGGCTCAAGACTATGGGGCTGTCTGGTAACAGTTGAAGATGCTAAACTGAAAAGATTATTGCTTTGTCTTTTAGTGACAAGTTTTTAAGGAGGTCTTGGGTTCATTAATGGCTGAAGCTGGAATTGGATTGATCACTATACCCTTGAAAGTTTTACTATTTATTTATTTTATCAACTAAAAGGCAAAGCAATGAGCCTTTCAGTTCAGCAACTTCAGTCGTTATCAAACGGCCCCTATGTCAAACTAGTATAAGAATAATGATATTAGTACTATAAACCCACAATATGAATTATTTAGTCTAATGATATCTGTTGTACTACTATTAATAACATAAAAGAAAAATATAACATATGCAAGAGCATATAAATGTTTAAGCATTGGGCAAGACAATCCTCCAAGAGTGTCTTATCGCCTAGGCCTCACCTTGACAACTATGGATTGAGAAATAGAGAATGTTCAAAGGGTCGAATTTTGGTTGAGACCCAGGAATCTCCAATCATTCTCATGGCTCTTCTGTTTGGAAGGGAGATGAAAAAGCCTAAGCTCTATTCTCATAAAGGATGTGAGTTTTAAAGTAGGGAATGGAAATCAGGTGATGTTTTGGAGGGATGTGTGGTTTAGAAGCAAGCCTTTGATGGATGCATTTCCAATTCTTTTGACCTGGCTACAGATAAAGAGGTTTGGATCATGGATTGTATGCTGTTACAGGATGGGAATGTAGTTTGGGTTCCTCAGTTTAGGAAAAACTTGAATGATTGGGAGTGGGTTGGAAGAGCTGATAGAAGAGTGTGGGAATGGGAAAATTCAGGATATTTTATCATTAAATCCTTCTGCAATTATCTAACAAATTCTAAAGAACCAGCACTTCCTGTTAATTTGGTGTAAGAATGTTACCTCAAAGGTTGCTTGCTTTTTTTTTTTTTTGGTACTTCCTCAAAGGTTGTTTTCTTCATATGCCTGGTTCTATTTAGTGAGATATGATTAAATGGTTTCTGTGCATATTACCTAGTTCCCATGTCCTTGGCCTCCATACTATTACTGTATTTTAAAACCTTTTGCATTAAGTTAAAAGATTGTATGGATTTGAGTTGCTTCATTATTGTCTTTGTCTAAAACAATATGCAATTTGTGCCAATCTTGCAGTTCTTTATTTGGTACTAATCTTGCAGTTCTTTTTTATTCTCTCATTTTCCCTTCCTTTTCCCTTTGTCCTGGCATAAAACTGAGATCCTTAAATATGACACAAATCCTTTTGATGCAGATTATTCTGAACAAAGTGTTACTGGTAGGAACCAAAACGAGCACCTACATTGGAAAACCAGTTGTACTGAATGCTGCTGTCCATGCTGTAGTTGAAGAACAGGTAGGCACTTGATACCTGCCTGAGTTGCATCATTTTACTTACTTCTTTGCAGCCTCATGTGTTCTGCCCTTATCATGCAGACGCTGGATCGTAAAGTTATTGTGTTCAAGTACAAGAAAAGAAAGAACTATCGGAGGAATATTGGTCACAGACAGGTATTACAGGGATTTTCATTATTGCTATTATTACATATATTTTTTTATGGATAACTAAAATTTTATTACAAGTGAAAAATAATGTAGTTTATACAATGCCTTTAGCCCCTCAATATTAGGATAGCCCCTGCTATCTTATCCCCCCCCCCCCCTATATTGCTCTGTAACAACAGATTGTCCCTTAGCTGTCTCCAAAACAACTTAGATCCATTGACCCCTTGTCTTAACCTTAACCTTGATAATGCATCACCCAGACAATTGGCTGATCTATGGACCTAACTACAGTTGCTAATTCCTCACCTTCCTAACTCTTGTAGTTCCCTCATGACATTTCAATGTCCCCATGTAACTCTACTTTTGAGCCTCCTTCCACTTTTAAGTTGTTGAGATTCAAAGATTTTGCTATTATTAACCCTGAAAATAGAGCTGTTAATTCTGCTCTAGTAGAGTCCTCAATGCTGATCTATCCAGGGTATAAGGCTTTAATTGAGCCATTGCCATCTCTGCAAACCCCTCCTAGGCTCCTATGCCAGAGGGGCCTGGGTTACCCAAAATACTGCCATCAAAATTTAACTTAATCTGATTTGTGGTTGGAGGGTTCTGTTTTGATGGAATGCAAACTTTAAAGCTAGTGGAGTCTACTATCTATTGCCATCTGCTAGAGATGTCAGTATTGTCACCCATAGGTATGTTGTCGAAGATTATCAATGTTTTCACCCAATGGATCACCATGGTTGTGATGCTTTTAATGATTGCACGCCTAGATCTTATCTTCCCCTTAAAATTCTTTCACTCCTCTCCTTCCACACTGTCCATAAAGTGGGTGCCCTCATGCATCTCTACAATGTCCTCCCTCTTTTCTTTAGATGAGTGAAGAATGATGGTTTGAAAAGACTATCCAAATCAGTAGGACTCCATCTATACTAAAAAAGAGAGGAAAAAAACATCCCCATAAACTTGTTACAAAGGGGCAAGAGATTAACAAGTGGTAAATAGCTTCTCCATTAGCAAAACAAAAGAAACAGATATATGGAGAAATGCACCAATTAGTTTGTCTCCTCTGCATAGTGTTGTGCTTAGACCTCCCAAAAGAAGCCCTAATTTTAGGTTGGATTGGTACTCTTAACACCCTCCTCATAGGAGGAACAAGAATAAAATCCAAAGGGTAAGGGAACCAAGAAAACATTTTCCAACAAAGACAGCAAATCACATACATCATAAATCTTAGTCCTTCAGCCCGCTTCCATAATTGAAGCTCATAGACTCTCAAGGAGATTGAGCAACAAAATGATCAACAATTCATTAATGTTACGTATTTCTTTTGAAGCTTTCATGAAAATGCTATTAGAATGGGTTGTATTGCCCAAATACAAATATAAGTTGACCCTTTTGTTGGGAGAAACTATTTTTAGGCTATCAAAGATATGTAAAGTTATATGGACGATTCATATTCCGTGATGGAAAAACTTTGTTAATCTTCTAATTCCACCTTGTATTGTTTTTGTTATTCTCATTTTTATTATTGTTCTTGTATTCCAATTTATGAGAAAGCAGACTTACAGAAGTACTTTTGCAGCCAATTACACGGATAAGGATAACGGGGATCACTGGTTATCAAGATTCACCAGCTGTTACACTGGACTCATAGGTGGCTTATGGCGGTTTATGATTTTCTAGATTATTGTAAATGGAGTTCCATTGCAAAATGTAGAAATTTGTATTTAGTTTGCGTTGGCAGCTGGACAATTTATTTTGACATGGCTTGTTTTGGCAAGTTAGTAAAGCCATTGGGGAGTTGTTTTTCATACTTTTCATCTTATGTCCATGGTATGGTGGAAAGATATGGATACACTTAGATATCAACCAAAGCTAGCCTTGGTTTAAAAGCTACTAATATTTATCCCAAAGCTCTTTTAGGCTTAAAAGCTACTCCTAAAGCTTGAAAGGCCTTAATACTTAACCCAAAGCTCTATCCTTCGGACTCATTTGGGAGGGCTGAAGTTTTGGTTGAACTGCCCTCCCAAACAGAAACTGACGAGTTACTGCTCATCTCGGAAGCCCCTTCCAGGGTGGCTTAACCTCTTGAAACAGAAGATGAAGGAGAGAAGAGAGAGAAGGGTAGGAAGAAAATGACTCCGAGAGAGAGATAAAAGAGATGTTCATTCACACTACTTATTACATGATCAGGGCCTTACATAGCTGGCCTACATGTGTGCAATCATGGATCTGGAAGGTTCTGAGTGTAACTGACTCTGGGGGTTCTGTCGCGTGTCACACTACCCTTTCTGTCTTCTAGTGAAATGTTGATTGGTGGTGGCCTGCTCTATTCCCATAGTTGGGTTCAAAGGGAGTGTTTGGGTTCCAATAATTCTTCCCCCCTAGCATTGACCTTGCCCTCAAGGTCTAGGTTCGGAAACCTCTCGTTCAGACTTAGATAAGGTTCCCAAGTGGTGTCATTTGGAGGAAGCCTAGCCCATTCTACCTTGGCTTCTGGCACAACCTGACCACCTCGTCGAACCCAACGGAAATCCACAATTCTGATAGGCTCTGTGTCAATGTCCCATTCTTCAGTGAATTGGGGCAAATTGGATGAGACAGGAGTATTGATGAGGGCAGATTTGGCCCTCCAGTGAAGTTGCGACACATGGCACCTCGTGACAACTAGGCAAGCCCCCAGGCAACAACTTACCAAG